TAGCATCAAAAGATATATCTGAAAAAATGTAATTATGTATTTGAAAAATATACATTGTGTGTGAAAATATGTTTATTGCTATTAACGAAATGTTCACGTGATTAAATAAAATGTTGACGATGTGTTTAAAAAAGTGTTCAAACATGCATTTGAGAAAAAAATGTACATCATGTGTTAAAAAATGTTTAATATTACCAGCAAAATATTTCACGCGTACACTAGAAAATGTACATTGTGTTGTGGAAAAAAGTAGACATGTGTTGAATAAAAACTTATCCGATGAAAAAGACAAAAAAGAAAGGGAAAGGAAGAAAGGCAACGAAACAGAAAAACAAACAACATAAAACGAAAAAAATAGAAAAAAAATTCCAATGGAAAGAAAAAAAAACTATGATAACCAAGAAGGAAAAAATGGACGGAAGAAATTGTAGGAAAAGGAAAGTAAAGAACAAATACTTGCGAAAACTGAGAAGGAAACGATGAAAACCGGTGCAAAAAGCAAAGAAAAATTGAAAAACCAAAGAAAACTTGAAAATAAGAAAGAAAATGTTTTAAAAAAAACTAGATGAGAATGAGCAAATGGACACGACCAATCGAGCAAACGAGAAAGAACAAGCGAAAAAGAATACACCAAAGACCAAACATGCCGGCCCCGAAACAACAGTAACCTCCAGCAAGACGAGAGGTATTCTCGCTATAGCTCTCACGCCCCATGGGAGGCTATTCGGCTATGTGGCCCGCCCGCCCCCCGGGGTTCGTCTCGCTCCTGCCGGAGCGGTGTCGCCCTCTCCCCTCTCGCAAAAAACAAAACAATGAAGTCGAGAGAAAGCAAAAGAAGGTCATTTCAGATTTCCTCCCTGTCCCCATGCGCGTTCTCATTTGATTCTCTTTTTTCCAGGAGTGAGCGCCCACATTTGATTCTGGTACTCGACACTGACGCGCACGTTTCAACTGCCACATACATGTCCACTACTCCCTCGTTCCGAATTACATGTATTTTAGTTTTATATACATCCATTTCTGTGACGAGTAATTTGAAACGGAGGAAGTACTAACTTATGTAATGGTACAGTACATGGCTGCACACATCTATGGACTTTTTTTTGTGAAATAAGAGCTTCCATTCATTAAACAACGGGATTACAATCGTTCTGCAGACAAACAACTAAAAAACGTGGTACATAATTTATCCAAAGACATCTTCTCCTAGTTGATGTTGCCTGCTTAGCACACAAATGTGCACCTTCGTTAGCCTCACGACCAACAAAATTTAATTGGAAAGACTGCAAACTCCCGCTGAGCTCTTCTATTTCCTGGAGTATCGGAGCTATGACAGAACGATTTTGGTTTCTGTCCCTCCATAGCTTAACAACCTCCTGGGCATCAGACTCAACGATAACCTTTGATAGACCAATATCACAGGCGAGTCTCACACCATCACGTACGGCAAGGGCCTCCATAATTAAAACATTGGCCGTCTGACCATACCAGATGGCTTGGCCCCGTAGTAAGGCACCACAATGATCACGAACAATCACACCTGTAGCTCCCTCATTATTGTTTGGCGAGAAGCTAGCATCCACATTGAGCTTAATAATGCCAGAAGCTGGAGGTTTCCACCTTGGCCGCTCCTTATGGTGTTGCTTCCCTGAAGCCTGTCCTGTTAGTGTAAGATCATAGGCAATATCAGCAGTCCACTTCACAGATTTAGACACGGATCCTACTCTCTTTTCATGGTGTCGAGCATTCCGCTCAGACCATACAGCCCATCCACCACATAATATAACAGCCGCATCTTCAGAAGAAACTTTGCTGCTATCAATCAGATCTACAGTCCAAAAATCTGGGTGAAGCTCCGGCACCTTGACTGAAGTGAGATTCTTCAACTCCTGCCAGAACAATTTGGCCCATGTACAGTCGAACAAGGCATGTTTGATGGTCTCCTCTCTACCACATGTTTGACAGAATGAGATACAATCCATATGCCTCTCATGGAGAATCGCTCGACAAGGTATAAATTTTTTAATGACCCTCCACCAGAAGTTACGTACTTTTGGTGGTACTCGCATTTTCCAGAGCTTTTTCCAAAACAATTGTTTGTCGCCATTCGATCTGGATGCTGAACTGATAGAGTGATTCATTTCCAGAAGAGCTCGGTAGGCTGACCGTACTGAAAAATTGCCATTTCTCTCCAAATGCCATGCCCATCCATCTTCTGCCAATCGGGCAGTTGGAATTTGCAAAATAGCCCGAGCATCAACTGGCATAAACTTTGCTTTCACGAACTCCTCATTCCACTCACCCGAGTCCGGGTTTAATAATTCTTCCACCAAATTTATTCCTGATGATTGCAACTTAACAATAGGCTTTAGCCCAGGATTAGTAGGGATCCATGGGTCCTCCCAAATTCTTGTTGATGATCCATCGCCAATGCGTCGAATGAGGCCCAACTCCAAGGCTTCCCTGCCAGAAATGATTGACCTCCATGTTTGTGAGGAATTTCTCTTACACCCTACAGTCATAAAATTGCCATCATTAAAATATTTTCCTTTCAATACCCGTGCACACAACGTCTCCGGGTAACAAATCAAACGCCACCCTTGCTTCGCTAGCATAGCTTTATTGAAGAGGACGAAGTCTTTGAAACCCATGCCACCGCATACTTTGGGTATGGTGAGATCCTTCCATTTGACCCAATGCATCTTCCTTTTGGTCTCATCTCCCCCCCACCAGAACCGGGCAATTGCTGCTATTACCTTTTTACACAACTTCTTAGAAAGCTTGAAACAGCTCATGGAATATGTCAGAATAGCTTGGCAAATTGATTTAATCAATACCTCACGGCCTGCACTGTTTAGTAATTTTGGCGCCCAACTTGTAACAAGTTTCTTAATAGTAGCCACAATATGATCAAAGTGCTGATCAGAGGATCTTCCCACAGCCGTAGGAAGTCCCAAATATCTTTCCATCAAGGCTTCCGTCGGAATCTCCGTATTTTGATGAACTGCCGTTTTCATAGCCTCGTCTGCATTGCCACTGAAAAATATAGCCGATTTGTTTTTATTCACCATTTGCCCGGAACCCATACGATATTGTTCCAACACATCTTGCAATCTATGAGCACCCTCCGTTGTTGCTTGTGTAAATACCAAACAGTCATCAGCAAACAACAAGTGAGATATCCAAGGGCAATGGATACCAACTCTCACCCCCTTTGATAAATGTCCTACACCATAATTCTTTAACATACAAGAAAAGCCTTCAGCACAGAGAAGGAATAAATATGGCGAAATAGGATCGCCTTGTCTGATACCCTTTGTTGGCTTGAAAACTTCATAATAGTTGCCATTAACTCTAACAGAGAAAGAAACAGTCTCCACACAGGCCATAACTCTATCGATCCATTGTACAGCAAAACCCAACTTACCTATAATTGCTCTCAAATATGACCACTCCACACGATCATAGGCTTTCGCCATGTCCAACTTTACCGCACATGCAACAGCTTTTCCTCTTTTCCTCTTCAAATAATGGATGCATTCATAGGCTAGTAACACATTGTCCGTAATGAGACGGCCGGGAACGAACGCGCTTTGTTCTTCCGAGATTAACCCCTCAAGAAAAGGTCTCAATCTTAGAGCTAGTACTTTCGAGGCAATTTTGTAAAGCACATTGCACAGAGAGATTGGACGGTACTGAGAAAATTCCTGCGGATTCTTACCTTTCGGTATGAGAACTAAGACAGTCGAGTTAACAATATCAGGCATAGTACCTCCCTCCAAAAAATTCCTTACCGCTGAACAGACCGTACCTTTCAATAAATTCCAGTGACGAATATAAAAACCAGCTGTGAAACCATCCGGCCCCGGAGATCTGTCCGGATGCATCATGAATAAGGCTTGTTCAATTTCATAATCTGTAATTGGCTCACACAACTTGATATTCATTGCATCATCAACCTTCTGCTGCATCCAATTAGTCACCAAGCTCGGATCAGTTTCAACTTGGGCTGTAAAAAGATTCTTATAAAAGTTGATTGCCTCAGCTTCCAAATCAGCCTGGGCGGTCACAACTGATCCATCCTCTCTTCTAATAGACTTTATTTTATTAGTTCTGGATCTTTCTCTTGCTTTTGCTTGAAAGAAACCAGTGTTGCGGTCTCCCTCCGCAAGCCAAAGAGCTCTAGAACGTTGCTTCTCTATTGCCTCTTCCCTTGCTAGCATCTATGGACTTGCGTGCATCCTGGGCTTGCGGGAGGCCACACTCATGTTGCCATCTCGCAAAACATCTTACTGAAGCCCCTAACCAATGGAACATATAAAACACACTACGCTACCCGCCATCCTGGCTCAACTGCGTCGTGCGTGCGTTCTGGTTCGCACGATTTCACCGCAATAGGATTTTTTACAGTGCTGTCAAAGCCATAGCCGTTGGCCGCCATCCCGGCTCAACTGCCTCGTGCGTGCGTTCTGGTTCGCACGATGTCACCGCAATAGGATTTTTTACAGTGCTGTCAAAGCCATAGCCGTTGGTTATTTATGACTTTTTTCTTTCGTTTTATTGCATGACGGGTGGACCTCAAATGTCCCTGGGCCCAGCATTCTCGTGTGCCATGTGTGCGTTCTGGGTGAGAAAAAAGGGAGACGTGGGTATGGATCGTGCTGGTGGTGAAAACCTAGCAGCCAATCCCTCTGTTTCTCGAGCCTCGCCCCCCTCCCCTGCACCTCGAATGCGCCGCCTCCTTCCCTCCCTCTCCCCTGCTCTCCACTGCGCCTCCTCCTCCCCTTCGCTTCTTTCTAAGGCGGCGGTGGCCTACAGGCAAAGGGCAACGGCGACGACACTCGATTTGATCTGCATGAGAAAGAGAAGAAGATAGGGAGAGAGATAACGGAGGAGGAGGGAGAAAGAGAGAGGAAAGAGGAGATGGAGGTGCCGCGGCGGATGGGAGAGGGTCACCGGAAGGAGCGCCGCTGGCTCGTCATCATCACGCTGGAGGAGAGATGCCTCTGTACATCCCTCACACCAGCAGGTTCCTCCTTCTTCCGTCCTTCTGCTCCCCTCTGGCGCCGCCGCCCTTCCCTTCCTCTATCTCCGCCCCTCCAGCGAGCCCCTCCTCTTCCCTGCCTCGCCGGCTTCATTCTCTGTCGCTCTACTCATTGGCCGTCGCTCCAGGTCGCCGAGGAGGATCTGCCACCGGATCCGCGCAGTTGAGGGTGAGGAGGATGGAGGTGAAGGAAGCAGCAGCAAGGATGGTGGCTGCTGATGGGGGAGGGGGCGACGTCGCGCTTCTCGCCACCTCCACGTCCTCGTCGCCCAGTAGTCCGTTGCTCCTTGTCTTGCAACTCCAGCGACAACAGTTCGTCTCGGTGATCCTTCTGCTCCTCCCGCTTCTCTCCTTCCATACTAAATAGCTCACCAAATTAGTCTGAACATAGCAAGGTAAAAAAAAAAGGGCATACATTCTCATTTTTCTTCACTGTATTTTTTCTTGTTCATACCTGCAGAAAAAATGGTGGCAGTGATGATTGATTTAAGTATCATGTTTGCTTATATGGAAATAGGGGATTTACTTCCGATGATGTGGCTAGTGGTGGTCTTCTCTTCACTCTCGTGTTTCATAAATTTTCCCCTTGGACACCCACTTATCTGAAATATGTGTCTTACCAATTTGATGCTGGTTCACCTGCAGGTTCAGTGAGTAGGGAACATGTATAATGACTACTGTTGATCTTTGTATTGCGAGACAATGCTTTCCAGCTTGATGAGATATGGTCATTCTTAAAAGGTAGTAGATCTATTACATATTGATTGAAAATGGTGTAGGTGTGCTCTTCTGTGACCACCTGATGTGATGTGATGTTTATTTTATTTTATTTTTCATTGCAAAGTTATTGTATATAGGATAAGGAAGAACTTTTGGAGACTCTAATGTTTATATTACTTCCCATTGTGTTGTTTTGTTTGAGGCTACTACATGCAGATATAGTGAACTCGCTGGTTTTTGTTGAACTCAAAATTGTAAACAAATACACTAAAATATGCTTGCATTGATAACTGTGTTTACTGTTGGATTTCTATTGCACAAAAGGAAGAAATGTGTTGTCAGGTAAAATCATGGCTTGGCCCGGCGGTGACCATGTTAGTCTGCTTAGTGTTCCTACTATCTACACTCCATGGAATACAAGCCCATTTTTAAACCGGTCCAGAAGTAATGACAAAATTGTAGGCACCGCAAATAATATCTTTGCATATTGCTCGACTCCTTTCTTCGAATTTTCTGACAGTTGTGTGTCACTGCACTTAATGTCCACACCTACTGCAAATCTTTATTACTTCTTATTCCTTTTATCTCCTTCTTTTATTAGATGAATTTAGGTCTGATAGGCTTCTCTTTTCCTATGTTTGCATTTAGTTAACTTGTCATATACAAATGCTGGAATTAGTTACAGAACTGCAGTCTGAAAGATGAAGGATAGCATGCTATCCAAGTTTTGTTGTCGAAGGGGGTCATTGCTCATGACTCCACTGTAGCATAATTAATAATTACTCACCCTATATCTGCATGTAGTAGCCTCAAACATCAACTTTCTTCTTATGTTTAGCATGTTGCTCACTGGTTTTGATATTGATTTAGGTAGAAGTTATTTAGTTTAGGGCAGGGTCCAACTATCAGATACATACATGGACCTTCTGGATGGCTGTCGTGGTTGTTTGGATCCGCTTTTATGTAGGGAGACTGTATTCCGGTCCTAAAGAGAACAAAATTGAAGTAAAAAGGTATTCTTTGGCTTCTTGGGTTTCTCTTTCTATGTCTCTAGGGACGGATCAGAAGGTGTTTCTTTTGCTTTTGGTGTTGCGGATGCAACAACCTATGCACAAAATGAGGGTACTAGACAACAATGCACTTTTAGATCCATGTGTGTGTGTGTGTGTGTCTTTAGGTGAATTTGTATTGTTATGTGTGTGATCGTAGTTATTTTTTATGTTTGACAATGTTATGACTATTATCAGCAGTGCAACAATGCTAAAAAGCTTGAATGCATCTTAAGGTTATTATGAGATTAAAGATAACAGTCGCGCATCTCTTTTCACTACAGACAAATATGCATTTCTTTTTGGATCTTTAGTGCTTCCCTTTCTATGTTATTAAGAATATGGCCCTAAGTGGCTGCATTAAGTTCTTTAACAGAATCAGCTGTGAAAATGGAGAGAAAAGATGCCGATCTTCTCTGGAAGACCACAACATTGATGTCTTTTGTTGATCACCGGTCTCTAAATATTCTTGCTTGCATGGTTAGCTCTCGCCCTTTGCGTCATTGACGCAAAGGGTCATCTAGTGGTGAGAAATGCTCGAACCTTCCGAGGCTGCGTTGCGTTCATGTCACGGCCATGCGTTCAGGTTGCAGTGAAAGGCGGCGGTTTTGCCTGCAAAGTATGTCGGCCTCCGCGCCTCGACACCACGCACGGGCTGAATTATTGTTGGAAAGAAGACGTGTCAAGCGGACGTGGGGAAGAGATTCGAAGCTAGACAACGAAATCTCTGGAATTAACCGTTCGATCCTACGAGTACGAGCCCCCTCCATACCACTGCTGGCAGGCAAATACCGTGGACACGACTCTCTCCATAGAGAAATGCTTCCTAGTACTATGCACATGCACGCTACCGATCGTATGTTTTTGAGATGTATGCAGTCAATTTGCTGCTGCAGCATTTAATTAATAAAGATACACATTTGATTTTAAATGCTCATCTACTGTGCCAAGTCTGATATTTTGAACCTCAACTACAAAATAATTAGTCAAAAATGCTAAGCTGCCACCCACTAGCCTAAGGGCACATCCATCGCTGTTTCTTGCTATTCCTGCGGCGTTGACCGTGTCCATGCCCGGCGACTACGAGCCCATGAAGTGAAGGTGTGATCGCCGGTGAGAAAGAGTAGGACATGAGATACGGACAGGCACACTTCGGACTTAAGGCCCCGCCGCCTTCCATGCACTACTCCTCATCAGAGTCTGCGGCCTGTTCGTCACCAGTGGACGTGAAGTCGACGATGCGGTGTCGTGGTCGCATATGCACCAATGAAGCGCAGTTGGCGGCGCGAACAACGCACAGCTCTCCGTTCTTATACGCGATCGTGTGCGGTGCCAGTGTCGTCTCCCCGTCCGACTGCGCCGCGACGTGTGCTAGCGGGCACAAGCGCCCACGGCCTAGTACAACACCTGCTGCTCAGCGACAAAGATGGGGTTCTCCGCGGCCATGACCTCCACGACCTCTTACTCGTGAGCTTGTCATAGATTTGACCCTCCACAAGCCAATGCTGCTCAAGGAGGGAGAGATTCTAAGGCTGCTCCTCCTGTGCCTGCCGGAACGCTGATACTGGTTGTGGCGCCGGCTACTCCTTCACTATGGCGACATTGAAGTGCGCTTGCGCCTGCTCCATGGTCAAACCGGCATGAAACGACTTGGGGCAGGACCGCCGACTTATCGTCAAAGGTCGCTTCCATCGTCCGGTCATCACCGGACACCTCCAGGGAGTTGGCCTAAAGGTCGGCCTCTATCCACCTCAGACGACGGCCTTGCAATTCGGTGGCAAGGGTGGCCAACTCATTCTTTCGCTCCGTCGAGAGGCTCTCCCGCAACGTGGTAGAGCTCGCGGTCATGGTGGACGTGGTGCACGAAGGAGGATCCGATATGAAGAGGGACGGTGGTGTGGTGCGGTTTGTGTCGGGCATGGGCTCGTTTAAATAGAGGATGTCGCCCAGGGAAAGTGGTAGGGTGTGTCAATGCCCACCTTGGAGTGGGTTACTCAACCGGCACGAATGTTTAATGCCAGCAGGCGGATGAACGGACTGCCCATTTAAATGTGGTACATACCTGTCATGTCTAGTCCAATGAAGTTGCTCCGACATTGAACAGGTGCAGAGATAGGGATGCGGCGCAGACGGTGCTCTCGAGCGGCGCGCCTGTCCAATGTCGGCACTAGTGAGAGGTCGCGTCTGCTCTGGGCCAGCATGAATGCGGCCCTGGCGCTCTCAAACGGCATGAATGTGCACCAATCGCTTCCTGCGGGAGAGAGCGCGGGTGCGCGCGAGAGAGGATTTTGGGTGGGACATGGTGTTGTCGGACACGTGCGTGGAAACGGTCCGGACACCCGCAAAGCCCCCCGATTTACAGGAAAACCGTGTTGGATGGCTTGCACCGTCCGGACAGCTCGGTCCAGACAGATGCAAGTGGTTTGAGGGTCAACGTTTGACGGTGTCCTAGATTAGGGGGTACTAACCTAGTCGGCCCATACTCATCGGATTGGGTTGGTGGCCCCTAATTCTTATCAAGATGGACTCCGGAAGCTGCACGGTGGGGGGTGATCAGGACTATATTTGTCGAAGACTTGTCATATACTCCAAGACTTCTCCTACCACCTCTACGCCAGTATGCCGACCTTGTAACCCTAGATACCCTACCTGGCGTGTATATAAGCCAGAGGGTTTAGCCCGTAGAGGGGACATCAATGCAATATCATTCACGTAGCCCTAGAGTTAGACCACATCTAACGATCTCGAGGTAGATCAACTATGTACTTGTTACATCCACATTAATAAAAACAAGAGCGGGATGTAGGGTTTTACCTCCATTAAGATGGCCCGAACCTGGGTAAAACATCGTCTCCCTGTTCCTATTACCATCTGTCCGAGATCCACAGCTCGGGACCCCCTACCCCGAGGTCTGCCGGTTTTCACAGCGACAACGTTGGTTAGCCCTAGCCCTAACCCTAGCCCTCAACTCCACCACCACCCCGACCGCTTCCCTCGTCCTTGCCGAAGGGCACCACTGGGCAAAACCCATGGGGCGGTTATATCCGTGCGGCTCTCATGGTGTGGTATAGAGTCCACGGGCATGGCAAGGCATGTCAGTCAGAGTAGCACACTACTAGGGAAAAGCCTAGCAGCAGCGCGGGTTTTGGGCCTCTTAGTAGCGCGGGGACCGGCGCTACTAATAAGGCGCTACAGCTAACGTATAGCAGTAGCGCCTGTTGTCCCACGCTACTGCTATACATGAATAGTTAGCGCTCTTTAGAAAAGGGCGCTGCTGATATTATCTGCAGCGCTGTTTACTGGGAAGCGCTACTGGTAAGGCGGCGCTACTGCTAAATTTTCCCCCCTCGCTACTACTAGTTTTATTAGTTTTTTCCCTGCATATTTGTTTTGTATTTGAATAGGCTTTATACAATAATCTTTAGCATATCATACACATACAAATGTAATCATAGCATATACATACAATTAGTCTCATCAAATCATGTCATCATCATAATCATCATCCAACACAAAGTGGTCTCTCGTCATCATCTCGAAAATAGCGATAGAAGTCTCGATTACTTGCAAATACATCGCCATCCATCTAAACAATGAT